TTTTTCTAGTGAGTCAAGATTTTTCTCAAAAGATCAAAAAATTGTGAATCCTCTTGACGTGGCCCTTTCAAATGAGATCCAGTCTAGACATCGACCACACCAGTCTTTATCTCATCCAAACACTCAGCAATTACCTCTTCTATCCCCATCAGAGCCCTTCCCCCATCCCTTGCTCGCCATCTGACATCTCTGTTGATTCCTTGACTCACATCGAGAAGTCTGGGGTGAATTTGCCATGCAGGGTTATGTGCGAGTGCTCTTCAAACAGTTTCTATTTTCAGAGAATCCATCTCACACCTTGGCATGTGTCCACGGCTTTTGCCATTTTGCGTTTAACGAAATCTTTCATTCGTGGTCATTTGTGTGCCGAGGCCTTTGTAGGAAGGTTAACAGCACTGTAGATAACTCAAAGCCATGACTGCGTTAGTGCTTGCATAATTCTGAAGGTCAATCTGTCTTGTTTTTCTATTTTTCAGCTTCACTGAGAATCTTTTAACTATCGGCATCAACAATCCAGCTTACGTAAGCTATAAAAGTCAAGAAACGGGTTTCTATTTTGGTTGATAACTAGACAGCTGGTAATTTAGCTGGTCGTGATGGACTGATCTTGTTAAAATGATCATGATTCGTGATCAATGTTTTTATAGTAGGTAAACCAACTTTATTATGTCGTTTATGGTGCTTTATGGGAATGGGCGGAGCTAAATCATTTTTTTTTTTTACAATTTTACTTGTAATTTAAATACAGGTTACAAATGCATATGATATTTGGTGTCCTTATCTTGCATTTATTGATACTAACATTATTCAGTGGCAGAAGTGGTGTTAGCCGCTTGAAGACCTGTAGATCTGCAGCTGAGATTATCTGAAGAAATCCACAGGGGTCGCTGACCCACTGCCAGAACCACTGTATAATGAAACAGGGAAAGAAAGCAATTGCCATGGTGTGCAAGGAATAAGACACATCTATTTTCTACCCCTGTAGTGAACACTCATCAGTGGCTTAGGCTTCATTCTTCTCATTTCCTGACCTTTGACACCACTTTTACCACAAACAATACCGCATCTCTCTATCATTGAACTATGGTACTGTACCCCGTTTCTTCTTTTATCAGGGTTTTTATCCAGCATATTTGTGGCCAATAGAAGAGACAATTAGAGAATGAGGTTTTTTTTTTCCAAGACCCTTGATGAGGGCAACCAAAGGCTTCCAGTTTTCATCAACTCAATGGAATGGAGCCAGGATGCTTTTAAGGATCAAGACAGAGCACTTTTAAACACGTACACACAAGGGAATACTGTGAACAGAGAACTAGGCAAACGTGATACTCTCCTCTGAGAGGCCTGGGTCTGCAGGCACAAACAATGGATGTGTGAAAGTCTTCGTAAAGCTCAATGGTAGTCCAGTCTTCATGAAAGTGGGAATTAATTCAGTTTAAATTTGCATTAGCTGCCAAAATGACCTTTTTTAATAAGTTGGTTAAATGCTCAATGTCTCGCAGCTGATTCATGTGTTAAATGGCTAAATAATTAGAGCGATGTAATTTCTCAATATGATAGATGCTGGCTGGGGGTCAAAAAGTTTTTTGTTTTTTTTTTACAATTTACAGTAGAAAAAAAAATAAATTTTGACATATTGGTGTCAATAATGCATGAAGAAGGAAAACTCATTATGAACAATTGACAGCAATGTATTTGTCAGTTTGTTTGTTTGTTTTTTTCTTTGATGTGAAACGTGACTCATAGATTCATATGGTAAATGGTTTAGAAATGTTTAGAAATGAGCTGGTTATAAATGACATGATGAAAATTGTAGTTAGTAATGTAATCTAGGTTACTAATTTTAGGTAATGTATTCAGACTACTTTTTAGATTACTTTTAATCTAACTTATAAAAAGGCAAAGAGAAAGAAAATATATTAAATGTATTTATTTATTTTTAATATATCAACATCACACAATGCAGTAATCCTTACATTACACCAGGGTTTCCCAAACTTGGCTTAACGTAAGACCTGTAGTGGGTTTGTGAGTTGATAAGAAGCTAATAATAAATACAATCATAAAAAAAGTAATATAAAAATAAATTATTTTAATACTTGAACACTAAAAATATAAATATTTTATTTGTTTACCTGCAGTCAAAGCTACATGCAATGACACAACAGGATGTTTAGAGAGAAAAATGTAAAAAAGAAATAAAAGGAATTAGGCAGAATCAATAAATTATAATTTACTGCCATTGTGTGAACAATTTGTATTTATGTAACCCATAAAAAAGTTACTGTAATCTGATCATGAGCATTTTAAAATGTAATACTCTAATTACAAGTACTTAATTTTTGGAGTCTGATTATGTAATCCAGATTACATGTAATCCTGCAGTTACTACCCAGCACTGGTGATAACACAAGCGAGACAAGAAAAACTTGCAGGCTCGTCTATATTGCTGGTTTTGAAGAGGTTTGAGGTAACTGTCAACTTGACCAAACTGGGAGACCAGCTTAAACAAGACGACCGAACCACCTTTTTCATGCTAATAAATATGCCAAATGCTACTTAGAACCACTTACGGTGTGGATGCAATTTTTCAGATTGTTTTACTTTAGTGCGTGTTGGTTATGGCAGATATGGTTATATTTGTTGGGCAACCAAACATAGAAAACAGAGTACTCATTCACTTTTTCACACTTCACATGTCAGATTTCAGCTGTCACAAAATATAAAAAGCAATGTTTAGTAACCATTCCTACAGCAAATTTGGCAGTTTTTAAATCTCTTTGTTGAATTCGAACACAGGCACCGTCTGTCCTGGATTTCTGCCTAATTAAACATTGTTTGTAGTTTAAAACTGCCACAGTAGACCAAACAATAGAGACCCCAAATGTGTGATTTCACAGCAGCTCTTCTTATCAGCACTCTCTGAGCAGAGCGTGTCCTTTTTACACACTGAGAGAGTGTCTAAGCGGGTAGATTGAAAGCATTGTTTCTTTTCTTTTTTTATCACAAAATCTCTGTATCTCTTGTTAAATTCTCTTTAGTAATAGCAGAAGTAACACTGGACATCCAGACTTTCCACTGAGATTACTTGTACTGAAAAACCACACGATTTCTGTGGAATTCATCAGCTGTATCCAGTGTATTCGGTTTTGTTGTACATACTTAGCATGCATTCTTGCATTAATCCTTAATTTAATTTGTGCATTAAATAAATGGATCAGGTAACAATAAGTTGTCCAGATGTCTGAAATGAAACCCAGGCACGATATACTGTATTAAGTTAGCTGGTTTCAGAAGTATTTTTCCATTCATTTTTTTTTCCCCCATAGAGATTTTAAAAAGTCTTTGTTAAAGGGGTCATATGATGCTTTTTTAAAGATCATTATTTTGTGTATTTAAGCCATGAACCAGTTTCAAAGTGAATTGCAACATTACTTTTATTTGCAGCAAAAATTTTTGTAGTAAAAACTTTTAGTAAAATGTCCATCACATGTGCACATCAGAATCATGTCAGAAGCTGGAAGTTGTAAGTCATCCAGGTACTTTTCACCAACTGTTTTATGAACACTGTGTATTTGATCATGCTACTCTTTTCACAAACTTATTTTCACCTTCTATATAATATTAAAGTATCAGATTTCGGATGCAGCCAGTGACCTATGAAATCCAGCTGATCCATACTTGCACAGAGTATGTTTCGGTCTTTAAACACATCATTGTTGTCCAAATTTTCCCTTTACAGTAAAAGTAAATTGAGGCAAATGCTGTCAAGCTGAACTATGCAGGACAAAAAAAAAAAAAAGTATCCCATCAGTAGCCCATAACTTGTACAATATATTCTGAGTCTTGACAATTAGATTGAAATGTATATGTGTGAATTTGATATTCACTTTTTCCCATCACAAATTTCCCATCCACTGTTGCTGTCAAATCTCATTAATGTGATTTAAATATGCACATATTAGAATTTGACATCTCATGAATGATTGAGACCAAAACTAATTTGCAATCACTGACTATTTTTTGGAGCTTGACCAGCCCACTGGTCAACATTCACTTTGTGTTATATGGAAAAGAGCAGGGTGAAAATTCTGAAAGAAAATCATGTAAGTTTGGAATGACATGAAGGTGAGTAAGTGAAATAATTTTAATCCTTGGATGAGTTAATTCTGTATAAGCCGGCATGCAAGACTATGGCAGCATATAATAATGCAAATCCCTTATGAATGTGAGAGAGAGAGAGAGAGAGAGAGAGAGCAGGAAGATGGCATTTTACTTTGGGTTAATGAATGTTTTCCTGATTCACTCCTTTGTGTGGAGAAAAACACTTTTGCTCGAGTGTCGCTCTCTCGCTTAACCTCACATCCATTATGTGGCGTTCAAGTTCTGATGTCACAGACGAGTGTGAGTCTGTTTCTGAGTACATGCTTAATTACTGTATAGAATGACAGTATATTGTATGTTTTTAATAGTAAAGAAGGATTTAAAGCACAACTCCTGCTGATTTATGATTAATAGCTAGAGTGAAAAAAAAATCATTTTGATCCCTGCTCACTGCCCACAGAAAATGATTATTTGATGCATCCAAAGCCCTGTAAATCACAATGAAAGGCAATTAGTTGTAAGTATGCTTGATACAAAACGGAGGCAGTTTTAATTGAAAAAGTTGAGATGACATCAGCCAGAAAGAGTCGAGTTGCAAGGCCACAATCTCATTGGATGATATGTGGGCGAAGTAGCACTGATTGGATGGCTCAGTCAGAGATGAAGCAGTAACTAAAGTGTCTGGCTATGTCCAAAAATACATACTAACATGCTCTTATTATTTGTAAGGAATAATACCGAGAATGCAATGTGGTTGTATTCTTGCTTTTCAGTCAGAATGGAATATATCCATAAAAAGTAACCTGACATGTAACCTACAAAAAAGGACTTGAAAAGCACCAGGAAGTTATATAATATATATATATATATATGTTTCCTTTGCACTCTGTTTATAGGTACTACAGCGCCACCATTCTGCAGATGTCTGGAGTACGTGATGACAAGTTGGCCATCTGGCTAGTGACTGTAACAGCGTTCACAAATTTTCTGTTTACTTTGCTGGGCGTTTGGTTGGTTGAAAGGGTGGGCAGACGCAGACTTACGTTGGGAAGCATCTTTGGTAAGATTCTTACATACTTGGAGAAGCAGAATATATTCCAGCACATTCAGAATGTATTCTGGGTAACATTTGGGTGCCTTTTTAACTCACTAGTTAAGAGAGACTGGGGCTAGTTCATGTGTTTGTAATATACAAACATGAAACAGTTGTTCAACTGTATCCAACAGATATTGTAATGAAATAGTTTAAAATGAAAACAAAAACTTATTACCACTATGCGAAATATATACTTAAATTGTACCTTGGACTCAAAAACTGGTTAGACAAATATAATCCTTGTTGCAACTTCCCTGTCCGATAACTTGCCCAAGTTTCCACTACTTTTTCGTTATTTGAAATGCTATTCTGAACATTTTGAGATATGCCAAAATATATCTGTTTTCATACATATGGATTTTTGATTCTTTCTGTACAGGTACTGTTTTGAGTCTGTGTATCCTATCGGTTGGCTTCCTCCTGTCAGCCCAGCATTCTCCTCCTGTTACACTACATCTGACGGACCCCACGACACCCAACTCCAGCTGCACAACACATCTGTGAGTATGATTTAATGGGCAGGTTTATCTTCTAGAGCTTCTCGCCAATGGCAATATAAATAATTCATGAGTACACTATATAAGATATAGTACACTCATAGTGGCAGCTGTCTTGTTATTCGGTGTCTTGTCATTTAGCACATATCAAAAGTGACTTCTGTTATCACCATGACATTCCATACTGTATGACGTGTTTTGTTCTGTGAGGGGAAAAAAATAGAAAATTTTGAAGAGTGACAACTCTTGGTAGAGTGGATTACTAAAGAGTATTTGTAGCACTTTTCAAACTGTGGATTGGAGTAGAAATAAATTGGTTGTGCAAAGAATGGTGATGTTCGTGTCCAAATATGAAATATAGAGAGTTCTCACATGTTTGTTGGTAGGCGTACCTTTAATTATACATTTTTCTCATGTTACACACCACAAGAACTCGAGGGCTGCATGCAAAAATTAACACACAGTGTGACCAATGCAGTCCAATGTATGGACAAACTGCTCTTACGAAGCTGTTCTTTTAATGAATCATTCAAAAAGACTCCTTTACCAAATCCTTATTCTGTTTATCTGCCTTACAGTAATGAAACTGATAAGAAGGCCTATCCAGTGTAATAGTATGATAGTGAGAAAATGTATTTCAAATTCGTATTTCACTCTAAAATGTCTAAAAGTGATGGATTATACCTTTATGATACCTCCCTAGGCAGGTCTTAGCATGGAAAAGTTTCAGAACCGCTGCTATAGTGATCTGGGGGATTCATACTGGAATAAAGTGAATATCAAGCCTCTATGGGAGATGCCTGAAAATGAGATAGGAACACTGTGGAATTCAATTGCTATCTGTGGACTTTATGAATACTATCAGTCTCCACATCATCAGCACCACCTGCCAGTATAATTGACCCCAGGTGGATTTCAGGGGCAATATCATCTACATCTATCATCTTTATCAGACAGGAGAAGAACCTATCAGGGTCCGAGGCGATCTAATAGAAGCACCCCAGACCACATGTTGTAAAGCAGGGGTTTAAACATTTTACAGACCCAGACACCCCACGGACTCTAGGCCAATCTAGAGACCCCCAATATGTATACATATAAACAGCTCCTTGTTCTGTATAAAAGTCTCCTCAAAAGTGGCAGTTTGACAATAGTAGTCCTATATAATTCTTGATATTTGGAGAGAAAAATATTTTTTTTAAATATCATTAATTGTACATGAAGTACGTTTTTGAAGAGTCATAACGCATGACATTGTACAACCTGAACTAACCTAGCCTTGTAATGAAAAGGTAAAATCTGATATTTTAAGAAATTCACTGACTTTGACACATAGTCATGAGGGTCTGCATGTTCTTCTTTTGTGTAATTTCTTGTTTTTTGTTTGTTTTCTGCACGTTGGTTGCATCATTTCTGGTCACCTCACATGACTTTAATTTGGTGGACGTAAGATTTTTAAATACCTTTTTTTTAATAGATTATAAATATCGAAACAGTTTTGTTCAAGGAACTGTTATTAAATCATAAAGAAATAATACTAAAAGATAAGAACCAAACTACTTAATAACATTGTCTTTTCAAGAATTTTATCATTTTAATAGGACTTTTTGTTCATTACATTGTACCACCCTGACATTTTTACTTTATACCCCCCTTAAAAATAAATAAATTAAATAATTGTAATAGAATCATCATAGAAGGATAAAATCAAGTCACACCCTGTATTTTTGTCATGTAATCCGTCTCACTCTGAAATATATCACATTCTGGAAGTAAAATGGTTAGCAAATGGCATTTCAGGTTGACTTTAATCTGTGTCTAGTTGAAGTTGAGTCCAGTGGAGAACTATTGCTAGTGTCTGTATCACCACTCTAATTGTGAAATTAGACCCTTTCTAATGGGTTCCTCTTGCTTTAGTCAACACACAACGTATTGGTCTCCAACCTGAGTGAAAATCAATTTTATGTTTGGCTCTGTTGGTGTGTACATTGCAGCAATAACTGCGTGTGTTAGGGGGTCCAAGCTGCTCGCTGTTCCTTAATGTCACAGTAATAGAGTGTCTGAAGTGTGTAACCTCATAACAATGACACCCCCCTCCCAGTCTGACAGAGCATGGCTCTCTCTCCATCCTAATTTACTCGTATACCACATCCAGTTCACCATACACACACCGCCAAAACAAAGCATGTTTATTTTCCTGCTAATGGATGCGTAATGACTGCACTGTCATCACAGCAGCAAACCAATTTGTGCATAGACTGTCTCAAAAGCCCTTTCAACATTCTTACATAATGGAATACAGTGTTTAATGGACTCACTGTAACTGCCGTGCAAGACTTATTGACCAAGACTTGAATACTGAATACATGTTGATGTATATGTTAATGGGATCATGGTTGTGATTTCATAATCATGCATATTTCTGAGCAAGTCATTCATGCAGCTTAGAAAACGGAACAGAAAACGGAAGTTGTGTATAATCAGAAAATATTATAATGATTTCTGAAAGATCATATGGCAATGAAGATTTTGGCATCACTGGAATAAACTATATTTTAAAATGAAAAGAAATAGAAGTTAGTTATTTAGAATTGTAATACACTGCTCAAAAAATTCAGGGAACACTTAATTATCACAGCATAACACCAAGTCAGTTAAAGGGGTGGTTAATTGTGATTTCACTTTTTTAACTTTAGTTAGTGTGTAATGTTGCTGTTTGAGCATAAACAATATCTGCAAAGTTACGACACTGAAAGTTCAATGCAAACTGAGATATTGTCTTTTAATATTATGGCAGTTTAATGCCTACACTTACGACTGGTAGGGACAACAACGAGCTACTTCCTGGGTTGGTGACATCACAAACCCTGAAATTGACATAAACCCCACCCCCGGGAACATGCAACAAAGGGGGCGGGGCCATGTTCCGCTGCTTTAGAGAAGAGGAAGAGTTGTTGCCATGCCATCAAAACTAGGGGTGCACGAAAAAATCTATTCATATATACAACGTGATTCTGTCTTCTAACGATTCTAATGGATTCACAAGTTTCAAAATAAATATTCTAAAGCAGCAGTTCTTATGCTGCATTCAAGTCCTCCTGGGATGTTCATACTTACGAGTTGACAGGTTGTAATTACTACATTAGATGCATTTAAGTCACTTTTGGTCAGAACAAGATTTCACTTTTCTACATAAAATGCAACGATTTTTTAACACTACGTCTACAAAATGATGAATAAAAGAACAAGAAAACAACAAGAACAAGATTTCACTTTTCTACATAAAATGCAATGGGTTTTTTTACTCTACATCTACAAAATGATGAATAAAAAATGTGCATCATAGTGTTTTAGCTTTTTTTTCTGTTTTTATTACATTTATGAAGGTGATGTAAACTGAATCACTATGTATTCTATAGTAATTATACAATAATATATTTTGCATCTGTAACATATAGTTTTATTGTACATTACAAAAAAATATATTTTATTAATTTCAACAAATTTACTGTCAATACAGATCAAGTCTGCATATCAAGTCTTTGGCTGCGTCCATTGCATCCGACACGTTTTTTCACTGACACGCCCCCAACTCGGAAACTCTGGGCTTAAAGGGGTCATTGGATGCAAAATTCACGTTTACATTTTGTTTGAACATAAATGTGTGTTGGCAGTGTGTGTACACATCCACCCTATAATGATAAAAATCCACCCAGTGGTTTTTATTTAATCCCTAAAAATAATATCCCATTTTTCAAATCAAGCCGTTCTCAGCTTCTTGTCTGTGTGACGTCACACAGACCAAGGCCCCTCCCACGATTGTTGATTGACACGCCCATCTTACCTTAGACCCGCCCTGAGTGAGCTGTGAACAGTTCGACCGCCATTGTTTCACTGGAGCAGGGACATAAGACAAGAATGTCTCCATAGCAATTGAGGTATTCTGTTCTTGGATGTAGTAATGAATATAGCAGTCGTCATTTACTCCCGACATCTGAGCAGCTGAAGACGCAGTGAATTACTTTAGCTTTTGAAGGGAATGCTCCTCCCGATCTGCCTAAATGCTAAATGCAATCTATGTTGGTGCGAATTATTCGTGATCCAGCCTCACCTACAGAAGTGAGTATAAGGGTTTTTTTATGAAGCTTTGCAAATCGCATTTCCTAATAATGTGCTAGTTAGCAAGTTTCGCGGGCTAAATGTGGCTAAAGTAAACAGTACTGCTCGTCATCCCACAGAAGAGAGGGGCGGGGTGAGCAGAGCTCATTAGCATTTAAAGGAACATGCAACAAAACAGGTTGCTCTGAAAAGAGCTGATTTTGACAGGGTAAAAAGGGTGTTGTTTTAAACTAACATTGAGAAATTTTAACCAAAGCATGTTTAGACTTTTCATTAAGACCCTAAAGAATCATATCAACTTGTGGAAAATGGGCATCCGATGACCCCTATAAAGAAAATTATGAGTTTCCCACTCGTAATAACGACTTTGTGGTGGCGTTCATGTGTGCAGCATGGTCTTGAACGCACCAATAATCCTGTTCCTCGCATCCCCCTGCTCTGCACACGCTCTGGTTTGCATCTCTCTCTCACCTGATTCAAATCATCAGCTCGTCAGCTCCATTAATTAACTGTGTTCCAATTATAAACTTTATGTGTATAGACAGACAGATATTTTTCAAATAGCTACAAGAAGCGTTAAACATGGATGCGCATGCGGTTGCTGTGGTAGCGAGCAATACTAGCTGGCAAACGGTTCTTACTGTTACAAATTAAACAATTACTTTACAAAAATGCTACAATGCAATCATGTATTCTACTGTATTACAGCTTTAATCAGGATAAAACCAAGCAGACCAATTAGGAAGCATAAGTGATTGTAAATCAGTTTCACCTTATTTGGTGCAAATAAAAGTGACAACAGGTGCACTAGAGAGGCAACAACAAGACAACCCCCAAGAAGGTGATGGTTAGCAGGTGTTGGCCACAGACAATGCTCTATTCTTTTCTTTCCTAAATGTGTGGTCCCTAGTTTTGTGTTTTGTTAGGGTTCATGCCATGAGGCAGTGTCTGCAACCCAATCAGGTTGCACAGTCTAGGTCCTCCAGAATGACACATCCATACGTGTCATCGCGAGGAAGTTCGGTGTGACTCCCTGAACAGTTTCAAGAGCATGGAGGAGATACATCAGAGGAGAGCACAAGGAGAGCTGGACAGGGCCATAGAAGGGCAACAACCCAGTAGTAGGACCAGTATCTATTCCTTTGTGCAAGGAGGAACAGGAGGAGCACTGCCAGAGCCCTCCAATATGGCTTCCAGTAGACTACTGGTGTGCATGTTTCTGACCAAACTGACTCCATGAGGGTGGCATGAGGGCCTGACGTCTTCTAGTGGAACCTGTGCTCACAGTCCCAACACCATGTAGCTTGCTAGGCATTTACCAGAGAACACCGGAATTGGCAGGTTCTCCCCATTCTCTTACGAATGAGAGCAGGTTCACACTGAGCACATGTGACAGACATGAAAGAGTCTGGAGTCTGCCTGCAACATCATCCAGCATGACCGTTTTGGCAGTGGGCCAGTGGTGGTCTGGGGAGGAATATCTTTGGAGGGTTGCACAGATCTCCATGTCCTAGCCAATGGTACCCTTACTGCTATTAGGTACCAGGATGAAATCCTCAGAGCCACTGTCAGACCTTGTGCTAGTGCAGTGGGCCCTGGTTTCCTCCTGGTGCAAATCCAATTGAGAACCTCTGAAATATTATCGGAGCATCTGAACCCACAAAGTCACACCACAGACTCTCCAGGAGCTCAGTGTTGCCCTGATCCAGGTCTGGCAGGAGATCCCCCAGGCCACCATCTGCCATCTCATCAGGAGCATGCATAGACATTGTCAGGAATACTTAAAGGTGCAGTAGGAGATCTTGGAAAATGCTAACTTTAGCCTGATAGCACTGAAGCTCTGCGAAGTGGACATCACCGGATATTCCGCCACCCAGTTCGAAGCGAGTGTAAATGTTCCATACAAAGGGCATTAAAGTGTGCGAGACGTAAATTTAAATAGTATTTATTTACAGAGGTATATTATGTCACACTTCATATTTCTCTAGAAAGTTTTGTCTGTGTGTGAAGACGCTGCGCAGCGCAAATCCGTGAATGAATGTTCCGAAGTGAAGTAAACTTCAACGGATTTCCCCTGCTCACTGACAAGATGTTGGAGGATTTGCTCCTCAACAGATCCCGAGCTCATTGACAAATATCTTTTATCGTAAGATGTGCTCCCTTTACACAGTGCGCGCACGATCGCGAAATCGAAAGTGAACTGCGACTGCGAGCGCTCATTCAAAATACCCCACATATTGATAGCGCCGCCCTAATTTTCTCTAAATTGATTTATCAACTTTTAATACTTTTAAGACCCCGCGGACACCCTGATTTTAAAGGGGTCCTATTATGCTTTTTCACTTTTTGAATTTTAGTCAGTGTGTAGAGTGTATGTTTGGGCATAAAAAAGATCTTCAAACTTAACTCAAAGTCCACTCCAAAGGGAGATATTTAGTTTTTAAAAAATCCCTTTTTCAAGAACTACAACGACCGGCTCGTTTGGACTACAGCATTTGTTTTCCGGGTTTTGTGATATCACAAAGCGGCCCATTAGAATATCATTAAAATAATTCCCACCTACGGAAATTCGAATGGTTGGGGGGTGGGAATAGGCGTGGTTAGAACGCTTGGTTGAGTGCATCAGACAAGATGACAAGGAAGAAGTGCTGCTGTAGCCTCAAGTTTTCGCAAGCTATTACACATGCACCTGAATAATTATGTATGTAAATATGTGTTACAATTATGAAAACGTTTTTGTAATAAATTGCTGACTGTACAATACTAGACAATGATGTAATCTGCAGAATTTACACTTCAATTATGAGACTACACTGTTTCACATACATTGAGTGCGGGTGTTTTTATATCACTGTATTTCTGAAGGAAACCGACTGTCTTCAGAAAATGCAGTGTTTTTTTGAGCGGAGCGCTGCTTTGTGTACAGCCGTTACCGGCGAAACGTTGATCTCTACCACTCCAACATCGCCTCCTGCTGGCAGAGAATGAGGTTGCATATATATGCCGCCTGGGAAACACTGGACTATGGTATAAATAAATTCAACTGTATAAAGTTATTTTTAAGCGGTTGTTGACATCCTATCTAAAACGTGATATAGCCAAAAAAATAAAAACAACAACAATGACGTTACCACTCTAATATGTCTTGCAATATCCGTGCGTGCAAAGGTTCTGCGCAATCCTCTTGTTCAATATTCTCTGGGTCTGAATCCGGCTCAAATTGATATGGCAATATTGATGCCATCCTTAACTAAACAGAGCAGACAGAACTTGCTGCTTTGGCAAGGGGCAGGGCAGTACTGAAACACCGTCTAAGCTGTTCGCCAATCACAACGCACTGGGACAGCTAACCAAGCACATCACATTTCGTTTTTCGGAAGGCGGGCCTTCATCAAACCCGGAACTAATCGAGCTGTTTGTGCCAGGATGGGGAGAAAGGTATTGTAATAATGTAAATTATGTAAAAAATCATGCGTTTTTCGAACCACCAAGCATGAGAGCATGTTCTAGTACACCCCCAAAACAAATTCAAGACATTGTAAAAGAGCATAATAGGACCCCTTTAAGTTAGGTAGGTCATTTTCAGCTGAGTCCCAAAATGGGGGGGTGCAGGTTAACAGGTTAAAGGCACGTGGGGGCCATACACACTTTTGACTTACATTATGAGTTGCTTTGATGAAATATATGCATGGATCAGCCTGTAATTTTTTATTTTTTTTAAATCCATCCCTCAATGAGTTGATTTTGGCTTCCACAGACCATTATCAACGATTTACACAATGTATATAAATAAAGATTTGTAACTTTTTTTTTTTTTTTTTTTTTGAGCAGTGTATTTCACAGCATTTTAAATGTATTTTTGATCAAATGCATCCATGGTAAACATAAGAAAAGTCTTTCAAAAAGTATAATAAATATCTGTAGATTTCACTAGATCAAAGATAATAGATTTCATTAGATTTTATTTCCATAAGTTGCTTATTGTATTTCTGAGTGAAACATGATTTTTAACAAGAAAAATTGCACAGTGGGACTTACTGCAATGTTATCCATCAGTTGATTGAATTGTGAAAATATGACAGGTGGTTTGACGAAAATGAAAGTTGTTCCAACATGTGGAGCAAATTATTATGTTTTGATGAAAGATTATGAATGCAATTAACTTTTTTTTGTTTGTTTGTTTAGAACAATGTGCAATGATGAGTCACGCATATAAGGAATTCTAGAAATATGTATTAAGACAGTGCATATAGTCCATTTTGATTTATGTTGACTTAAAGGCACAATATTTAAGATTTTTTTATTAAAATATCCAAAAACCACTAGAACAATGTTATATATTTTGCTGACTTGTGTACTTACATTATCACAAATGTTTCGAAGAATGTTTAAATCCAGAGAAATAAGCAATTTTAACTAGTGACACGGGTCTATAGTGTTATTGTGTCACCTGCCAATGACGTCATAACCCCTCGATTTCCGGTTTTGTTTTGTAGAAAACATGGAAACACCAAAGACACTTTAATATGTTGTGCGTTTTATTAGACTGGTGACGACCGCACAGAGTAGCATAATAACAGAACTTTCAAATGTATCTAGTATGATAAAATAGCCCTGCTTTTTTTTCCCCCACATACGCACGACTGGAAGGAGTGGAAGCGGTCGACTGTGGCATAATAAAAGCTCTGCTGCTTTCAAGCCGTACGTGTGTCACGCTCGTTCAGCAGCATCGTTTCGCTTCGACGGCTTTCAGCCTCACCCTGCTTCATTCTACTACGTTAACAAATCATTAGCTCATCCATGAACATGATTTCTGCCTGAGTCCCGTCGGATTGCATCGGCTGTGGGGATGAAGACGACAACTCCCATGACTCCACACTCAGTCATGGCGTCATCAAACTACGCCTTTGCCTCTGTTTATTTTGAATAAGCGCCCTCTAGCGGCGAAAATTACATATTGTGCCTTTAAGACAAGAAGAATTCAAGGTCAGTTGGTTGGGTTTTAGTTTTTAAGTAATTTGTCTTGCTCTCATTACTTTGTTTTTCAGGTCATGCGAGCCCTGTATGTTGGACCCAAGCTGTGGTTACTGTTATCAGGAAAACAGCACTGCTGTGTTTGCCTCCTCCTGTGTGCCCGTCAATCCGGCCTCTACTGAGAGAGCAGCGTGGGGCAAGTGAGTCAGCACTGAAACAGAGCCTCTGTATGTGCAAGCACTTGAGCTGTTCTGTGTATATTTGGGCATATTATGTGTTTTTATTCATTCTACAATACATTACAAAGTTATCCAATACTCGCCAGATGTAAAATCTCAAATACAATTTGTTGTCATGTTTCCCTACTTGTATTTTATATTTTTAACACATTTTCTAACACATTTTAGTTTGTTAAAGGGATAGTTCACCCAAAAATGGTTGTCATTATTTACTCACCCTCATGTCGTTCCAAACCTGTAAGACCTCCGTTCATCTTCGGAACACAAATTAAGATATTTTTGAAGGAATCTGAGAGCTCTTTGACCCTCCCATAGACAGCAAGGGTCCTTACACAATCAAGGTCCAGAAACGGAGCAAGGAGATCGGTAAAATAATAGCTACGAGAATACTTTTTGTGCGCAAAATAAAAAAATAAAAAAAATGTATTCAACAATTCGTCTCCTCCGCGTTTTTGGAGAGTATCCACTTGAACGTAAATTGCGTATGCTGTTTTGTGTCAGTGTCAGACTCTGTTCCATGTTTTGTGTGTGTCTTGCTCCCCATGTGCCTTCCTATGCCCTTATTTGGTTAGTTTCCTGTTCCTGTCCTGATTAGTTAAGTTCATTTGTCCCAGGTGTTTCCCTTGATGTTTCATTGCTCCCAGGTGTGTCTCGTCATCCCCTCCTCCTGTGTGTATAAATAGTGTTCCCTGTGTGTGCTCCAGGGTCCGGTATTGTATGTTAATGTATGTGAATGTCTATGTCTACATGTATTGCGTGAGTGTTCCTTTGTATTAATTAAACCCATTTGGGTTGATGTTCTCCTCATCTCTCTCCGTTCCTTGCTCCTCAGTCCGCTCAGCAGTGCACCCGTGACAGAATACCGGACCTAAAAATAAGCGGCACCCCCTCTCCCAGTTTGATTTCCGTTTTTTGACAGTTTTTGTTTTGTTTTTTTTCCCGTGCGTTCCTCCACGTCCCCAAATGGAGGAGCGATTAATGTTTATCGCGCTGGCTCAGGCGAGCCCAGACCCAATCGTCTTTGCAAGGGCGTTCGTGCCGCTCGCCCTCACCAGCTCCCTCGAGGGGGAAACCCTCGCAACGCTGTTCCGGATCGGAATGACATTCCATCATCCCACGGAGCTCCCAGACACCACCAACCTCGACTGGAAGGAGACAGTCATCTGGTGTCTGGAGAGTCTCTCAGCCCAGGGAGGGCTCCAGATCCCCAGTTAAGCCCAGGGAGGGCTCCTGATTCCCCGTTAGGCCCCGGGAGGGCTCCAGGCCCCTTAAATTTCCCCAAGTATTTTTTTGGGAGGGGTACTATGGCTCCAGCCGTAGAGGCAGGGGCTGGGGCCATGGCCTCCCGAGTCCCCTGCTCCGCCATGGCCCCCCGAGGCTCCAGATCCGCCATGGCCTACCGAGGCTTCTGATCCGCCATGGCCTACCGAGGCTCCTGATCTGCCATGGCACCCCGAACGGGTACAGCTCTGGAGGCCCACTGTCCCGTGTCTGTCCTGAGGGACCTCCAGAGTGCCCCCCCCCCCAC